TGTGAGTGTAGTAAGGGATTAAAAGGATGTGTCTATTTATAGAAGATTACTAAATAAATATCAAAAAGGTTGCATTCAGTTGGTATGTCTTTTTATGTATTAGCCTAAGAGATAGTGACAAAAATGCGCGAGAACTTTCGGTATTTCAGTATGTTGATGTACTGAGGGTCCTTATATATAGGCTTACCATAATTACGAAGAGCCAAACCGGGACGCAGAAGAGAAAGAGGCTCATTTTCATTTTGCTTTTCGCTTAATTTGTGTTTTTCATATTTGAAATACAATCAAAATTATTATGAATTGAAAACATATTAATAAATGTGAATATATTTTTTATTAAAAAAGATAAAGAGACAAAGTACAATTAATACAAATAACACTGAAAATTTTGCCCGGTTTTATTATTCACCCACGCTTGCTTTATATTTTTCACTAGAGTGCACTTTCTTCAGAATCGTTCTGTCGTGCTTAATTTTGTCATAAAATTCACTGCATGACATGTTCAAGTTGAGTTTGCACGTAAGCAAGGCTTCCACAACGCATTCTTCCATCCTCCCCCGATCGTCAGACCACATTTTTTTCATCTGTGAAAAAATTCTTTCCACTGGCTCTGAAGAACCGGGTAGACACATAGCAAATTAGACAATTTTTTTTAAATTTGGCCTCTCAATATGCTGCTTGTGAAAATGGGTGAATGGCGCGAGGGAACGATCGGCCGGGGTATCGGTGTTGTTCAAGTTTGACCGGGACGCTAATGCAGACCGGCCGGGACGCCGGGACAGGGATCTCAAACCGGGACAATCCCGGTTAAACCGGGACGTATGGTAAGCCTACTTATATACAACTAGAGCGAAGGTCAGGTTCTGGGCAACTGATAGTGGCGGGGCAAATGTATAGTACGAAAGATCGTAACAAATATTAATCGTGCTTTTTAATAGTTTTTAAATTAGCGAATAACATACTCATAATATCACAATCATAAAATCACAGATCTCAGAAGTTGGTGGTGAAAATGAGCTCCGAAAAAGAGTTGCGTAATGATTGATAGTTATTTATTACTAAATTATTCCTCTGCATTGGGTGATGTATATTCAATAGTCCTTCCACATACTGAAAAATCAAACTTTCGAAAACTCTTGCACATTTTTGACACGAGCTCTCAGTTTATATATTCTGTGTGAATAGTAGGTATACCCTCAGGTCACCATTTTTGCTACCATCAAAATAACTGGAAGAATTTTTTTAACTTAAAAACAACTTAGACGATTTATTAGGTCATCAAAGTAAGCAAAACCCTGATAGAAGTTAGTTCTTTTGACAATAATAAAAGACCAGTTTGGATGAATCGAAAAGACTACAATAGTTTCCCAAGGGATGATGGAGGTAGTTTTTGTAGACTTAACGTTAGTTCACGCTCCCGCCATATTTCTCGATAAAATGTAAACCGAAAAATACAAACGAAAAATAATAAGTACCTACTAAAAACAAGAAACTGATATTAAAAATATGTACGAAATAGATGTCGCGTTAATTCTCAGCCAGACTTAAAAAAGATTGTCGAATATGTTTACCAAATTTTTAAAATGTGTTTTTTGAAAGAGAACAATATTTCTGTCATCATGTTAAAAAGAAGCCTTTATAAATCATTTAGAAGCTACATATTTCTCTAAAGCTATTAACCCATTATTGCCTAGTGTCCATATGGACAAGTAGTTATAGGGAAAATAAAAAGAAGATCAACTCATCTCCAAATATTTTTCTGGGGTAACCTCCATGTAGTTGTTAAAAGAGTAGTTAAAAGTTAGTTAGTAGTTGTTTAAATAGGCTTGTTTTTAGTCGAATTTCAAGGTTTTGTGCCGCAAGTGCAATATTTTTTTGTTTTGAAGTTTGAGCCTTGTGTAAAATAGATGAGAGCAAAATGAAAGAGAATATATACGTTTTTTTTTTCCTACCTATTTATTCCTTTTGATAATACAAACTTTATAATTATGTCTGTGGCATGTTATGGATATTGACAAAAAGTGTTTCATAACAAAATTTACAGTGTTTGAAGTTACGTGTTCAAATGGACACGCTAAGCACTTAAGATTCCTTTTTTTGTTTTGTTATTCGGTATTAAGGAAAATGTGTTTTTGAAAACTTTCAATCTTTACATGATGTTTTAAATATTAGAATGATTAATAATTATGAATTTATATACCACAACCTGACCTGTTTTGATTTAGGACCTTTTTCTGGGCCATTTCCAAGGTTCAAATCTGATTTGTGATACTTTAAAGCGAATTCCTGCCAGTAACCTTCATTTCTTAAATCGTTTCGATAAATTGAACCAAGATAATTAAAATAGAAGACAAGAGGCTTTGAGTCAGGCCTTAAGAGAAATAATCTTCGGTAGATAGTGAACTGCTGAGCCTCCCCCGTAGATTTTCACGACGATCGCCCCCGCGGTGCCCGCAACAAGAGGCTTTCCGCAACCTTTATAAAATCGTCGGTCCACCTAGTGAGAGGTCTACCCACTGAGCGTTATCCGGTACGTGGTAGCCATCTTCCGTCCCAAGAGCCTTCAGTTCTCGCTGTGTCCTGCCCACTGCCCTTTCAGCCGAGCAATTCTTTGAGCAATGTCAGTAACGTTAGTTCTCCTACGGATCTCCTCATTCCTATTTCGATCACGTAGAGAAATACCAAGCATTACTGTCCATTGCCCACTGAGTGGGCTTGAGCCAGTGCATTGAATGTTCCAAACAATTACATTATAATATCTAAATATTTCTATTTGTTAAAAAATATATATTCTTTGCTAGTATTATTTTCAATAATTACTTCCTTTGTAATTTTTTACACCATGAATGTCTACTATCTTGTGTGACATGCTAGGCATTCATGCTGTAATTTTTTTTAATACATAATAAATGATTTCCGCTGTAAAAGCTGTTTTTATTAATATTTGACCAAACTTTACGTAGTTCATCCAAAAATTTTAGGAAAAATTTAAAGTCAAATATTGCTTGGTTAAAATTAGTTGTACGAGATCTTTTTTGAAACAAGAGGTGTATTCAATTTAAAAAGGTTTCATTTAATTTATTTTCGGTATTCGGACTCTTCAAAAGATTTCCATTCGTAGGTTCGCTAAGATGGTGTTCTAATAGTTTTATCGGGGGCAGCACGTGTTGAGTGTCGCGTGCCGCCGCTCGCGCATGAGATTCAATCTTGAACACGAAAGCTACGTGTGGCGCGCCCTTTCACACGTGACAGTCTATCCAACGTCGAGACCGACGCGCCGATCCCATCTCCGAGAACCTGATGTAATACTAAGTTGTTTAAACCTTCACGGTCATTAACATAAGAATGATACTTTAAACGTAGTTATTAATTAATTTACGTATTTAATATTAATTAAACTAACCAGCTTAAATAAAAGCCTATTTCACTCGTGTATGATGTAGTTACAGAATTATTTTTATCGAATCTCTATTTCCGAAGATTACGAATTACAAATTTAGAAAGAATGATGTCCAATTTTGACTTAAAAAATTAATAACACGTCTAGCCTAGTGATCTAAGAATTTGCAATTTAATGGACCAACATTTTATACTATGTTTTATGCAAATAAATATTTTATTATTATATCGCAAAATGTATTTTTTACTTATTTTATATCAGGAAATTAAATTTAAAATAAACTCAAGATAAAAATTGCGAGACTGATTTACTACTATGAGTGTGACATCACAGTAATGTCTACCCGAATGCGATTCGGACCCCAAAGTGACGGTTAGCTACACTACCCCAATGCGATTCGGACCCAATAACGATTTGCTACTACAGAAAAATGTTCTTTCGTTATATATAAGAAAAAAAGTGCAGATTGATAATTACATTTCTTTATTTACGAGTCTAACGGACATGGCGAAACTATAAGGGTTCCTTGTTTATCATCGAACTTAATAAAACAGGGGTTGACTCATAATTTACTGTACAATTTTTTACTTGAACTTTCTTATTTAATCATATTATTACAACATTGAATAATCTATATTACCATAAAGTTAACATTTGTAACGTTAATAAACAGTTTTTATATAAAGTTGCAGTCATGGGGAGTTGTAAGACTCACGTTCCTCCCGTTAAAGTAATGTTCCTACCAAGTCCTATAGTTCACCGTCGCCTTAAGGCATTATTTATTCTAAAAAAAACTCTACTTTAAAAGATACATTTCTATAGTGTTTTTTGCAAATGGAATAATATTTAAATCTAGTTCAGAATAAGTGCGCGCTGGACGTTTGATCTTAACTGAACTTTTTGAACTTATTTTTTATTGTTATTGACGAGTAATCACGTCGTATTTGAAAACAGGTTTTTTTACCTAAACACTATTACGTCGTGACGCTTTCGATTTAATGTTACTTATTTGCTTATTTCTATTTGATCTAGTTACTGTATTTACTTGGTATTTGTAAAAAGTATGGAAGCGGCTGAGATATATATTTTCTTTTATTACCTCTGTATTAATTCAATTCATATCTACAAAAATGTTATCTATTATAGAGTATAATTTAATATTGTAAACCACAAATAAGAAAGAAACAAAATCATAGGTTTATAGTACAATTAGTGCGCTTCGCTTAAAGTAACCATGTGAACTGCATTTTATTTATTTCTTACTAAAACCGTTAACAATATTTTCTAATAGGTATTTTCACAATAATGAAAACGCAGTTTGTCAGGTCTTTATATACAAAACTTGGCTGTATATAGTTCTGAAAACATTTTGACGGTATAAGTCATAGAGATTTGGCAAAACTTTAGAAGAAAAAGTTTTTCGTGAGATTCGATATAAAAACATTATTTGGAAACATAAATTATTGTTAGATATCTATTAAAAATTTTACACTTTCGAAATATTAGGTACTCGTATGTGCTTTGGTGTACTACCAAAGTTGTAGTGCCAACAGTTAGCCCAGATAGGCTTTATATTCTAATATATATCTTCTCCCCGTTGGGTAAATTATATCAGGTTCATTATTCAATAGTAATAAAACTAAAAAATATTTTGGGAAAATTTATTTCAGATCATGACATATTGGACGGTAGATAGTTGAAATACATATTTGTTATAGTTTTGTTATATTAACATTTCTATTTAAGGCACTAGCATCATAATAAAATACTTTCAGTTTACATTGTAGACGACAGTTTTACTCGTAAGCTACATGAAATTTTTAGCTATTCATTTATATTAAGAATTCATTAAATAGGTATAATTCGATTCTCAAACATAAATTACGTCAAAAGAAACTAGCCTAATTTAAATAAATTACGATGTCGGGACGGCCGTCAATCCATCGTCTCTTGACTTAGGTCGCACGTTCGGTTATCTACTTAAAAGGTACTGAAATATTACTTTTACTTATCACTATCATTAAAATCAGGCTTACTCTACTTTTAAAAATATGGTACAATACGTTATCGGAGTTCCAGACGGAATTCCGAGCGTAAAGTGAACGAATGAGCGACGTGATCATGATAACGACACACGGCCACGGTCCCGCCGACGACAGTAGAGATGGGGACAAGCGAGCGTTATCACAAACGCTTCACACAGCCAGCAAGCGGTTCACTGCGCACCAAACCGCCACTTGCATCCATCTTCAAACATACACGCTCTTGTGGTCGTCCCCGTCTCCTTGCCGTGTACTTCCGCACCCGCCCGTACGTAGCGCATAGCGCGGAAGATTCGGACAATATCATTAATAACCGCTATCGTTCCCCTACGCTTCGTAAAAGGTGGACGTGTCTTTCCGGCGAAACGTCGGCCTCACGAGCCGGGACACGACGGGGGTTTTTAAACTAACAAAATAAACTATTATTGCGGACGTTGATCACGTCGACATGTTTCCGATATCTCAGAAATGCCTCTGGTGCGTACGAGAGAAACTGGCATCGTAGACTTTGCATAAAGAAGAAGGAGCGTTAGGTCCAGGAAGTAACTCGGCCGCTTTCGCCGCCGCACGTCTTCGCTGCCAGCTGCATGTCCACGCAGCAAGTACGACTAGTTGAGCCGCCAAGAATGCAGCCGCCGCGAGCATAGCACCCGCTGCATTTACACAAGTCACATCGGTTTCCCTAATGTACACTGAGTCTTCGGTAACATTTTTGGCGCGTTGTTTATCGAATCCGAATTTGTCTGTGATTTGGATGGTCTGCACCAAAAGCATGTTTTCGGTAGGCGCCGCAGGAGTAGAACGCCTCTTCCTGCGTCCGTATGATGAGACAGTGCGGAGTTCGTTCGGACCGCCATCGCACTGAACTGGTTCACATGTAGGCATGCAAGGCGTCACCAAGGCACGGAACTGAACTACCTCAGATGATGGGAACTTGAAAGCATCGAAATGAGACAGCAACATCTGCAAATAAAAATAAAACCATCCACATTAATAATTTAAAGCTCATTATGATAAGCAAATAGAACGACTATGATAATAAGGGTGTAGATTTTTTATTTATATTTCTATTTAATAGATTTCTTTTTTATTTATGTCCCTCTGAAACTAATATAGTTTTATATATACATAAGATTTAATTCTCTCTTGTCATAAGAGTAAGAGAGATGTGACATCACAAACTGTTTGTGGTGACGTGACAAAGAATAAAATATTTGTTTTTTAATAACTAATTTAAGCACATTTATGCTTATTGTATTAAAATTATTAATACAATAAGCATAAATGTGTGATTATCGATAAAAGTATATTAAACACTACCAGAAAAAAGTATCTATTTTCGTTTACAGTCTCCACCGAAACGAATTGAAAAGACGAACGAAACAAATAGAAAAGACAAATAGATAGATTAATTATGAAAATGTGTTTATGAACGTAACCAATATTTATATGAAGCGGGATTTAAGGCTCAGTTAAACTGTACACAATTGATTTCTTATAACTAGCTTTAAAGTATGTAGACTTCATAAAAACGTAGTCGGGTAATAAATAAAGTGAAAGCCAGAACGAAAGATAAAAAAACGCTTCCTTTTCTTATACTCAAACTATGGTAAAAAAGCAACAGCAATTAACAAGAAGTCTTACCTTTCCACTCATCGATGATTTGAAGAGAGGACCCATAATGAAATGGTCTGTAGGGCAACCACGGCTGTCAATGAGAGTAATTTCGCTCGAGTCTACTCCATCCATTGCGACAAGTTCGCGCACAAAGATTTCGAAAGGTGAATTGGGGTCCAAAATTTCGAAGCGAAGGGCCTGAAACGAAAAAATTAACATTAAGCCATGTATCTAAAATATTAACAAAAAGATCTACATTACAATATAATGTATAGTACTAGTTATAATCCTTACCAAAGGATCTCCAACTTCAGCGGATGCGATAGTATCGTCACCACTTCTGTCAGTAATTCTCATGGCTACGTTGGGAGAGTCTACAATAACTTCCTCTGAGAGACCAGTCTTGATGTCACCATGAATACCGAGATCGACTTCATTAGCTACAGTTTTGTTAGTAAGGTCGTATTGACAGGCCACAGCTAGACCAAGATCCGATGATGTTACTATAGTATCATGGTGTTGTATTACTACATCATTCAAATATCTGTAAGTTACAGTTAGATTAATGTATGTTGAAACCTACGTCAAAGAATTATTAAGATAAACATCTTGATCATGATAAATCAAGATAAACATATTGAAAATGCAAAATATAAAATAACATTTATTAGATTACTTTATTATTGATTTGGATTTTTTTAATGCAAACTGGTTATAATTTTTACCTTCCAAGTCCATTCTGCTTTACATTGCATTCAATATTGGTGTATTCCATATGTAGTTCGAACTCCAGACTTTGTTCGACATCAACGGCACATGAGTTAGGGCTGCCTTTTGCGTAAATCTTTCCATCGAACAGTTTAGATGTCTGAATACGGGCCACCATATCACCAGCACGACAGTCAATAGACACATTGTAACACGATGATAATTCATATGTCGCCGCTTCGGGTACTTCCAGATAAGGATCCTAAAACAAACACACAGATGATGGTTTTGTATATTGTAAATTTCGTATTTGTTAATCATATCAGTCAATCAGTTTACCTGGATGTCAGCAAGCGTTGCCCTTGAATGGTGTGAAAGTCGACATACATGGTCACCAGTATCACCATGATCGTATGAATGACAACGGAAGGGTGAATTCAAACAAAGTTCACGGCATTCTTCAACTGTTTGGACATCTTGATAGACAGAATCCACTGTCTTAAGAATACGGCCACCCATTTTTTTGAATTCGCAAAGTTTTGTAGGTTCTTCTACACAGTTATTTTCTAAATAATCAGTATCTGCAATAAAAGAATGTTTATAATTACTTTTGTTCGATTTTGATGTAGGTATTGGATTTAAACAATTTGATTTACCCTCGTTGGGTTGAAAAGCGGTGGTTCCAGCTAAAGTTATGCGATCCATGTTAGACAGCACACACTCCCCAGTCTTGTTATTGTAGTTCGCTGATCTGCAACAAGGTTAAGCACATTTTAAAGCGATGTTCTTTTACTCTTTTTTCACTGTGTGAACTTTCCCAGGAGTGAAGTAAAATCACGGCTCTTTTTTACTATGCTATTTATGCTTTACTCACACATACGTCCACCGTAGTGAACATATTTATGCGTCATTATATTAATATGCATCTAAGATTGGAAAGATTTATGATGACGTAAAAATAACATAATATTAGTGACTACAATCAATCTGATTGAAGTAATTGAGAATTACAAAAAGCTTAATGTGAAAATAAATGTTGGGTTCGTATTCCACATACATAACTTTATCTTTATCCATCTCGCCCAGCATTTTCTCTTGATGTACAATCTATTGTGATCAGATGACCTTTAATATGGGAACGTATTGCAAATATAACTCGAAGTTTCTTTTGTGTTTCAATAGCATAAAAACAATACAACATATATTTTCTTACATTGCACACCAGCGAATTATTGTTTATTCATGTGTACTTTACTACTTAAGTTCGAATGCAATTGATTATTCGTATTCATTGGTGTTTTATTCAAACTTTAATGATTTATTTATTATAGTTGACAGTAGTATTGCTTTTACAATTAGTTTATATTATCTTCGAGCTAATGAATAGATACGCAAAATTATTACAAGAAATATAAATGTATAATAACTCTCAGTTTATTATTGCAAGAATGGCCGCTTCCAGTTACCGTACTATTCATCAAAACATGGTAAAACTTGCTTGACTGCTTCAATTTATAATAATTAAACTTGCTACCAATTTATCTTTTTATTTTGTTAAGTTTACATCTTGCTTAACTTGATGATATAATATAAGACCATATAGAATAAAACAGTTTCTAATGTCCGTATGTCGCTGTAACACATTTCTATTCTCAGTCATACGTCTGAAAACAATTAGGAAAATTTCGTCGTAAAGAATCGCCCTTAACTAATTTTACTGATAATATATATGTAATATAATACAAGCATATAATTTATAATTAGCTCAAAATATGATAATCGATCAATTTATAATTATGAATGGCATAATTTATAATGTGAAGCATCTAAAGTGTCTTACTTTAGATAACATTACCGAAACTATTAAGTTTTGATACTATTAAGTTTGTATATGCGAATAAAATCCAATGCATAGATACCGTTGAAGCAAGCAGCCTTATCAAATGATAATAAGGTACATAAAAGAAAATCAAACCTGAGCTCCCATAGTTGAATTTCGAATTAATATTACTGGATCGTGACAAAGACAGAATTCATATTCTAAATATGAACTACTGGTACTATGTCTACTACATAGATACCGATGATAGTTTTACTTGTACACAATTAGGGACATGATGTCAAAACTTTAGCTGATAAAAACTAGATCAAGTCTGAGTGTATTGACTTTGTACAGTCGAGTTTTTGTACTTTTAGATGTGGTAGGAGATGAGTTCCTCTATTGGAATAAAAAGTGAATATTTTCGACGGGGTTTGAAGCAAACAGTATGTGTTTTATCGGTTATTGTATCGTGAAAGTAGGAAACGATAGGGCAAACCGCTCCCACACCGCACCCGCCACGTCCCGCTGAATATTTGCCAAATGTCGTGACTGTGTACGATCGCGATGCGCGCCGCCCGGGGTGCGCCTGCTTCGTTGGCTGCCGCCCGCTATTCTCAATGGAGATACGACGATTTGTACCAAACGGTACACGTGTCGAACTACACTCGAAAACTAAATCGAGCAAATCGTTCATGGCATTTGTGTCGTAAGTAGTCCTTACTTTTATCAGTGGCCGCAGCGTAGTCCCGGTCTGTCTGTTTACCTACATAACCGTACACAACTTAACTAGTGATAATTCGAGAAAACTAAATTTTAAATATTTCGGGATTTAAAATTGTACAGTCAAAGTTTATAATTAGCAATAACTAACTAATAAAATAATGCAATTGTACAAAAAGGAAAAGGGAGAATCAAAAACACAAAATTCCGTAACATTTTTAACATATTGGGAGCAGTTATAGCAAACGTAGCTTGTTTTATATTAGATCTTTAAATGAACATGGAACCGTCAGAACTACGTGTATCGAATGTGAGCGTCAAAGTCGGTATACTATTTATGTTAATGATATCAAAAACCATACAAGGAAATAAACACAATAGGACAGTCATGTCTTGCTACATTAGACGCCTGCGACGCAGCAAACGCAATTGGCCTCCCTACTTTGTATATAATGCTCGTTTTCTGAATTCAAAACCGAAACAGTTACTAGGAAGTGACCATGACTTATTGAGAAGATATGTATTGTGGCCAGTGGATGAAGTTTGAGTGACTTGGTGTTACTGCTAAATAGTAGAAATACTTCCACATTTACAGTAAAATAAAAAGAGACTTCACATATTTACACGCACTTTAGATTTTTTATGAAATCATATCTTGCATGAGATATTATTAACGATCTTGTCTTCGTCTGAACTGAAGTGTAGTCATTACCAGGCCTTTTGCACACTATTAAAGCGTATTGGATTTCATTCATTTCCCTTTCATGTAAGTGGGAGTATTATTTGATTGTAATTCAGTTGAAGATATTGAATAAATAATAATATTTAAAAGAAAATTTGAATTACGTTTTCAAGAAAAATTACTTACACGATTAGTATGAGTTTTGAAACAATAAACTATTGATCGAAACCCTTCGATCGAAAGTCTTCCTTAACTTTATGGGCTTGCAACATTAAAGTCCCAGTTAAGTTTTATTCATTATCTAGATAGCTAATTAACGTATCTCAGTCAGTTTTAATTGGAATTTGTAACTTAAGCCACGTAACAACTAGCAATGATTCCATGTTGATCGTTAATTAACCATAAGTATCTTTAGGTCTTTGAGGCATTGCATAAAGTTTCTTTCATTATGGTTTTTCTAAATGCACGCTCAACAATATTTTCCTTTTTCTGAAATAGTTTGTCTTTTGAAACCTGTGTAATTATACCCTATCTAAATAAACGGTATTTGTGTACGAATTCTAAACTTGTTAATGTAATTAAAATTAATTGGTCTATTTAAGCGTGTTCATATTAGTTTGGTACATGTAGCTGAGACTTTACGTCCGTGTTTTATTATCCAACGTAGAAACTCATTAATATATACAGTGATACTTATTTGCACTAATGGTTGCCGTTTTGAATGTCTGGTTCCCCGTACACAGGTCGTGTCGGGGCTCGCAGGTCATTCATGTCTCACTCCGCCCATAGAAAGCTTTAGTTCGTTCTTTTCTTTATTAATGTTTTAATATATCCCGGAAACAAAATTATCTAGTTTCATAACCCGGTATGGTAAAATTAAGTTATTAAGTTAATAGCTAATATCACAGCAATATTAGTGCATTTATTACAAGTAAAGGTAACAGGGACGCATATCAAGCTCGTTATGTTGATTTTCTATGAAATGGATGAAGGAGGAATATCAGTTTTCATTTTTTAATTTAGTCTGCAAACCAATTGGATTGCAGGAAAAAGTAGAATAATCCATAATGTAAAAAGTACCGTCTATTGTAGAACTATAAAGTAAAACTTCGACGACTTTGGGTCTAATCATATTTAGTAAGTAGTTAAAATCGAAAGGATGTGAATCCCGTTTTTATTGTTCAGTGGCATTAAAAAATAATAAACAATCACAGTAATATATTTAATGTTTAATTTTTATCTTTTTTGATGAAACAGAGTTTTAGCAATAAATTAACGATAGATTTAAAATAAAAAGGAAACAAGAAGATGTTTTTCATAGACAGGTGCTATAATAAATTTAACTTCAATGCGTAATTTTTATTTACTTACTTTAATTTCTTTACCCCCAATAAAATATGCATCAATAATTTAATATTTTTACTTAAGTCTTCGTAATTACTACTTATTAGGTATTTCGAAAGAAGGAGTATGCTAATGTTATAGTAACACCTAAAGATCTGAATCTCTGTGTATTTGGTGGTTTGATTTCAAGATACATATTTAAAGTAACACCTAAAGATCAGAATCTCTGTGTATTTGGTGGTTTGATTTCAAGATACATATTTAAAGTGGTCGACTCACCTGCAAACGAATTCGTTCTCGCCTAGGCAAAGGTCGAGGCACATCTGGCGGGAACTGACGGTGTGGGTTCTTTTGCCGCGTCCTTTAAGGTTGTATCCTCTGACTCTATCGAAACACCACGCTCGCTCGCAAGGGCGCACGCCAAGGCATGATTTCTGAGCGTAAATTGTGAAGACAGGAAACTGGGACTTGGTTAGAGCACCTGTAATAAACAAAAGCGATTATAATCTCAATTATTAAGAGTAACGTCATGATTAGTTCCAATAAGTCTTTATCCAGATACGAAGATGCAGTCTTACGAAATTACTCTAAAAATGTAACTTAAAGAATATTTAAGGTAAAAGTTCGGTAGTAGAAATAATATAATACTATGTTATACACTTAAATACCAAGGTGATGAATTGATAGATGATTACAATAATAGTGCTAGTATTATCTAAATTCGAGAATAAGAACGTTTCTATTAAACACGCATTCATCATTAAATTCTTCATGCTCCGACGTAAGTGTTCTTAGTAAAGAGGCGTTCAACCTTAGCGAATTCAGTCCACGTCTAGACACGGGCGTTGCATGGTGATGTAATTGGATACCCAACATTAGATAATATCTTCGGTTTCCATTTGAATCTATATTGATATTGTTTTCTTTATTTATTATTTTGTCAATTTTGTATGGTATGTATATATAGTCGAAACATGTAGCTTGGCTTCGTTTCTGCAACAGACTACTATAGTATAAGGTAAAAGTAATGATCACTGAATATGTTTTTTCACCTTACGCTCATTTGATGGCAGCAAAACTGCTAAGCCACATGTTTTGAACGTGTAGAGCTTGTAAAGATAGAAGCTAGTACATGGTCTAGGCTTAGCAATATTTTTCATAAAATGTTATTGTTGGGAATTTTTTCTCTCTCACACGATGATGGTTGCATTGGTTTTATATCCATATCTATTTTCGTATATCAAAATTAGATACTTCAATAAATAATGTGAATATAATTTGAAGGACCTCTTTTTCGACTTGATTTCAGTGTGTGATTCGTGGCTGTTCAACTTAAACCATTACTATTGTTGCAATCTTTTGTACTACTCCGATAATACGACTCCCATTGCGGTTTGACTATGAAATGAGGCATTCCAGGATGTTGTGGCTTCTAACAGTTCTATTGTGTTGCTACTCTATTATTATTTTTTGACTGAAACCATTTCTTTGGGGTTAAAAATATTCACAGAAAATATTTCTGTTTTTAGGATTCATTAATCATCTTCAAGCATTGTATAAAATGATTTATAATTGTTTCATTATAAAAAGTGAAGAATGACTTGAGTGTAGCGTCTGTATTTACTGTATATTTTTTTCCGAAAACTTGTTCACTTTTTGTTCGCTAATTTTGATTATCAAACCAAACGACCAGTATTCCTCTTTCCAGTCATCATTCACTCTGTGTGGGGCAAAAATTGTACTTTGACAGGGCTGGTTTTGTAAAATTACGCTTATAGCTTTTAAATAAGCATTTAACAATTTAACATTATTGAGTTGCTGGTTTTAAATTTTGTTATATAACTAACTATACTGATTTCATACTTTATTCTCAATAAATTATAACATGAATATAGACTTAATAATGGTTTATCTTAAATTAACTACATACTTACTTAAATATACTACAAAAAACAGGCCACCAAATAAAGCTCGATCATGCTTTATAATTCGGCCATTGTTTGCTTTAGAGGTCAAGGCATGTCCCACTTGCTAGTGTTAATAGACGGTCAAGTTTTCATTTTCGCGGTGAGAGTATTTTTTTCACCAATAAGGCCTGATGAACAAGCAACTTGCCGTTATTGGCATTCAAATGATGTGTTGGAGCAAAAAATCGGAACGCTTCGCTTGTTTGTGAACTCACACGTTTATATCGAACAAACGAGAGTATATTTGCGCCTTTACTGTGCCACCTGCTATGTCCCGGTTATAGCTTACAACGCGTATGATTATGCCGTTATTGTTCGTTTATTCACATACTTAATCGCTTAATCTGCGTGCATGTTTTGGCGCAACAACGGGTGTCTGCCTGCAATTAGATCTTTTTTCAACTTGGTATTTTTATGTTACTGATTATATGATTCTATTATAAGAAGCTTTTTTTACTCTCTCACATGTTTACCTATTAAATTCAATCTTTCAAACTCAATAATCCCAGAGGAATGAGCCTGTCTTGCTTTGGTTGAAACGACGACGATCATCACTTTTTGTTCGCGCAAGATTGATTCACGACATGTGTCTCTTCATAAATAAGTTTGTGTTGTGATACAGAGAGATAGATGTTGACGGCTAAATGTTTATTGATAAGTAAATCAAGCAAGTTAAGCGATATCTACAAGAAAGATAAGAGATTAAGTATCGCTATGATGCTAAGCTACCATTGACATCTTAATTTACAGTTTTGTATTACATTTTATTTCAAAACCAAATTTGACATTGTATTTATGTTCGTAAAAAATATTGATGAACAGTCATTCTAAATGAAAATGCTTAAATATCCATTTTGTTCCTGGTTGGGATTCGAACCCTCGACCTTTCACAATACGGAATTGTGAATGCCAAATGGATCAATTATAATAGTCATGTTCATCGTTATTTATTTTAAAAACTTAAGGTGAATCTAAACAAGTTTTAAAAAGGTATAATTCATTTCATTTTTAACCTGTTTAGTAAAATAAAGATTTGTGTTTTGCTCGCATAACGTCTTCTAAACTCACGTTCGTTGTTTATAGTATTTAATTATGTATCCAAACAAAAATTGCAAACAATATCAGATGACTCACCCGGCAACTGGTCGGCGTCGGAGCTGAAGAGTACACAGAGACCTGTCTCGTAGTTGACAGCGCGACAGGTGTCGTTGGCCTGGCACTGCTCGAGGCAGTCGGTCAACATCAGAGTGCCGGGGATGTCGTCGAGAATGTGTGAGGGAGCCGAGAACACGTACCTGTCGTAATATATGTACACGTTGAACCATTTATGCTAGACTGTAACCTTTATAGTACCTTAGACATTTTAATTGTGATACCTAGAATTTTAATTAATATTAAAGGTAGTAGTTATATATTTAAATATACATAAAGCTTCACATCAAATCTACTACATAAAAGTACAATCTTTTACGTGACACATAAGCTTAGTGAAGTAAGATCTTGATAAATTCATTTCTTATCCTGTTGGAGTAGCTTTATAATTTTAATTAGATTCGCAATTACCCTGCAAGTATTCATAGATTATTTATCTTCTTTAAAACATTTACTGTCTAATAATGAAGTACAATCTTACCCAGTGACAAGTTCGAATCCAATCATCTCGGGATCGCATTCTTCTAATGAATTTGCCGGAGCAGATGGGGCTGATATTCCACTGGGTGCTGAAGGCGGAATGCCTCCTGATGCCGTTTCGGGGACAGGTTGTGGATCTTCCGCGTCTTCAGGTGCAGTTTTTGGAGGGGGAGGAGGGGGTGCGCCTGGGTTCTTATATTCTTGAGGGGCTGACAGTACAGCTGGTTCTGGTGAACCAGATTCTACTGCAAGATTGTCTTGAGGTGGCGCATCAGCAGCTGATCTCAATGTACCCTCAAATTTTTTTGCGGCTTCGACGGCGTACGCCACTAATACCAAGCCTATTATAATTCGCATTGTTGTGTCGGTGAGAGATAGTGGCAACATTCGTTATCTGTAACAAAAGAAATATAAAATTTTAATACTCTTCATAAATTTCTCGAGAATCGTAGTCATTGGATCTATTTCAATTCGTGCATGCTATGTGTATCAAACTTGCGGCTTCCTACAATTATTGTTAATAAAAACTTTGTCGCCTCCCTCTTAGCTACCGACAGGGACATGGTGAGATTCCATTATCCTTTGTATTGCACTTAAGTTAATAATTTGTAAGGTGTATGCGTGATGTGAATGTTAGAATAAAAAGTACAACAATTACGATTGCCATCAGAGAGGGCATTAACTGAATAATTACTACAAATTATAATTAACTTCCATGTGCACTATAATATGACCCGTAGTTCACAGAAGTACATATTAAACGTATCATTATGTAATAAACAACAGTCTTAGTACACATTTCTGAAAAATCATTGTTAGTAAGTACAAGCCGTGGGAAAAATTCCCATTAGATGTAATTTCATTACGTTTTCGTCGATGTTCCTATTTATTTGTTCACATTTTTTATCGCTTTAATGAAATATCGAACCTCCTGGAAGGGTTAACCTGTAATTGATTTACAATATTTTGTAAGTATTGGAAACATGCGAATTGATGGCGTGCCGATTAACTTTTGCTCACGTTTCACGCACAATGTTGGTAACGGTCTATCTATTTGACCGTCCACGTCGTGGTCAACGGTACTACTTATTCCGATTTTATTGTAAAAATGTTGGCTACGCTACGCCCGACACCAAATAACAAATTATATATTGTTATCGATGAACGACATCACGCGGACAATTATTGTTATTGCCTCTTTCATAATATAACCTTATAGTTATTGTAATTGGACAAACTATCCATGGGTTTTTGTGTCGTTGGCGTTCGATGGGTTCTGTAAAATGGATTTTGGTATTTCAATGACATTCAAAACGATTCAATTTCCAATAAAAAACACATAATCGCTCTTTTACAGATGTGAAGCTTTGATTGTTAACTGTGGTATAAAAATCTTATAGTAAACTATTTCAAAAATAGCTGATTGGTTTTCAGCTTATCACTTTTGCGTTGTATTACACTGCTTTAATAATAATAATTCCAGAAAATACATACATATTTGTATTTTACAATTGTGTAGCATCTGTGTTTGAATTAGATTTATGTATTCCCTATTTATACTATCATAATTTAGTTGATTCCTTTTATAATTATTTAATATATTAATTATTTTTATTCCAAATTTTTGTGATAATCTATTATTAAACAAATTCCTATAGTAATATTTTAAATCGGCTGTTCAAATTAAAAGTTAACTTAAACAGTTACATTTTTTCAAATAGTAATTAATTTAAAAATAACATTAAACACAACTACGGTAAGGCATGCAAAGTTGGCACCTCTCAATGGGTAGATATTATATTTCGGTGAGAATGTATGAGTTTAAATTTACCATATTGTATATTCGTTTATTTATGTCGCTATTACTGTCTGAATGGATACACATGCATAAGTTGAATGATATCGCCGCAGGGGTAACACGTACTTATTTCTTTACATTGCAGGTTGTTATTAATTTTAAACGCTCGTCTATCATAAAATAGAATTATGTTCGCGTAAACTTATATCGTTTAACATAAATCAATCTTTTTTGAGTTTTATGCATTGCTTGCAGCAATATTCGAATAACCCTATTTCAGAATCACTTCAAATTTTGATTGCGATTTTTAAACTACTCTCATGTTTATTACATTCTGGAAGTTCCGTATCTTCTTTAGTAAGCCATTAATCTTCGTTGTGCAAGTTCTCCATGAGAATAAGATTACTTGCAAATTGTCCAAATAACCCCACGATCAGATGTAACCACTTTATAAATGATCTCGTGCAGGACGTCTAACAGTTTTATAGAATAAACATTGCAACGGAACGATGTCGGGACAGTGTTATTTGTCACGGTCGTAGCAGGCAAAGTTCAGACAGCAAAGTATTAATAAATAAGGTCTGGGTTCGTCCTCAATGGCGTGAAATAACAGGAGTGCCGATCATTGGTGCGGTGCCCTACGGCCGGCAGTGACCTACACCCGACTAGCTGTAAACATGGTCACGGCTCGTGTGATATAATCTGAAATTCACATGCGCTTCGTGTTTCACCCCTTCCCACTTAACACAGTAGTGCACTTACTGCGATTGTAACATTTGCTACTAGCACATCAATAATCTAAAGTCTAAGGCATCTGTAATATATCATAAAGTGACTCTAGCTAGTGCTAGTCACTCAGAGTATTTACATTTTCATATATCATAAACACATGAGAGAGAAATTCCAACATATATCTACTAACGCAGAAAAGTATTTCAATTGATAATAAAACACTTTTAAAATGTAGCAAAAAAATACTAAGTCTTGACGTTAACACTCCATTTTAATATTATACTTTTTTTATAATCACGGTGCTTCTATTTATAGCAATTGTACAAGCTTGTTCGCACTCCTGAATATTTTATTTTTACACGTAAACTGCCTTAGTTATGTATATTTTAATGGACCAAAAGGCGGGTAGAGCATTTATAATGAATGGGTGAACTAATTTTTTTTATTTTCGCCATTATCACTGCGGCTATAATAGCCTTAATAGTATGTTTAACATTGAATTTTACAACCCGGGAGCAAGTTACCATATCAGATAATTATAGCCGCTTTAACACATATGGATTGTATAATAAGTAAGGCGAAATAGCTAGTTTCGGTGGTGCGCTCTACAAACTGCATAAGCTCAGCCCCGGATCCCGATCAGATGGGGTCAGCGCATTCAATGAGCCGGATGCCTCCAACCACTATTTACGTTTCACCATACTTGTACCCGTCGGCATACTATGGTTGCCTTTTCTAGCTGATAGACCTCAAAAATGTCACGTTTATCCTATTAAATTCTGATATTTAACGTATTGGGTGCATTGTGTGCTGCCACTAATATTACCATAAAAGTAGTGTGCAACATTCTAAAAACTTTATCATATTTTTTTTTATAGATTTTAAATAATATTAATATAAATGAAAATTAAATTTTACAACGCAAATTGTATTTCAAAGAAATGTATCAATTAATCTTCTGTATGACTCCTGTATCTACCCCCTATAGAGTATAAGGTTAGCATAATTTACACATTTATGTTGTGAATTAAGGATTGCACTATGAATTATTGCCTTGGTTGTATTTACAGTGCAATGCAAAAAATATATAGCTCTTTTTGGTATCAAAAGATGTCTGGAAATATTTATGCAGCATCTGCCTATAATTTTTGATTTATAAACAATAATTCTTAATTTATAAATAATATTGAGACGGAGATATTACGTTTAATGATTTGATGTATAGATGCATTATATTAACAAGGATTATTTGTAAACATTAACAAAAGAAAACGCAGCCCGATTTGAATTTATGATTGCCAATTTGTCTTTGCACATTATACTTCAAAGATTGTATATGAAGAGTGAAAATTTACAAAAGCGAAATTAATTTATAACACGAAATGAAGTGTTGCCTTTGATAATTTCCTAAGAGTTCTGTTTAACTGCGACTTAATATTATTGTATGTTTGCAATAGTCTTATTGCAATTTAAAAATCTACTAAGGATTTACATTGAATACAACGGTGATTTGTTTAGTTAAGCCTATGATGGTTGTAGTTTCCTTTTCTGCTGCCGAAGTGTAGTTCCCCTTAAATGGTATCCATCCAAAGTCGGAACATCAGTCCCCATTGTCTTTAAAATAGATATTTGAAAGCCGTGCAATGGTCAGCTCATGCTTTCACAAATAATAAAGTTACAAATGTCTTAAAGATAATAATGAAAGTTTCCTTTGCATTTTAAAAATACTCTGAGGCCGTAGAAAATGACGCTTGTATGATGGATCTTTACTTATTATTTTAAATTTCTCTATTGATATCTTTTCTCAACCAATATTTGTTTATTGTAAATGAGTGTTTAAACCATATATTTATTATATTAGTATCTACTAAGTAATTCTTTATAGGTACTTAATATCGCATTATTACGTTTCCCGTTCTCCGTGCTTTACTTGTTTTTTGTTATGATATCATACTGAAACGAGAATTATGAAGCATCTGAGATTAGTACATGTTCGCATGGCTGACCCCAACATTCGTAATTGCCTACTTACTTTACAGTCTTACTTACGTTTATAGTCAGTTGAGTAATTCATATTAACATAATTAAGTTTTCTGTGAAATGTTTATGTTAGCTTAACCAACGCAACAGTAGATGAAATTGTTACTAGTTCGCAATTTCCTCCTGCCAGAAAGTAAAATGATGAGATATTACGCTTCGTTTTACTCTGGCGATTCGTTACGAAAGTTTCGCACTGATAAATTTATATTTAAGCATGTTTTCATTAATCGTGCTTGCGGTGTTGTTATCGCAAACAACGTCATTTGGTTTAACTGGATTGCCAAGGATTGTTTCTTTAGAACTATCGAACTGACAAGTTTTATATTACTACGTTCACCTATATGCTTTTTGCAAATAAGTTGGTCATCTTTTAAAAAAAGTATTGGCATTTTTTTCTTTTCTGCTTACATAGTATTAATTTTGAACTAGTATGCATGCAAGTATTGCATTGGCCACATATCCTCGCGCTTGAGGTCAGTGGGTTGATGCGCTTGCAGCTAGTTTGCCATACAATTTACATTAATGAGAAGATCTCGATTTCTCTGCTCTTGATCGACAGAAAACGACTTGCCATACGAAAATGAATTAATTACCTTAGCTATCCAAATTATTGCTAATAAAAAATATATTTTCATTAAAAAGTCCTGTAAGCATCATAACCATTTCACACTGAATCTAAAATAACTATATCAGTCTAAAGGTTTTTAATATTGTTATATGTTATATATTACGTAAAGTGCGAAGTTATTCGCCGTAGTAAAAGTAAATGCCTACGCTGTGCCGTGCGACCGAGTCCTTCAGACAACAGGTTGAAAAATTGAACC